GCTAACTAATCGATTTTGAAAATAATCGTTAGCTGCAGCTCTAGTTGACAAGGCCAGAGTCCTGGACAGGTTGCAGACACACATACAACACAAAGGTCAGGGACAGACGGAGGATCAGGACTTCCAGGGACAATCTGAAGCCTGGGATTTCCAGGGAATATCCAGAGGATAGGCAGAAACAGAAGACCGGGATCACCAAGTCAAAGTTCAGGGCCAACTGAGGACAAGGATCTCCAGGGACAAGCCAAAGGTCGGTACACGGGCAAAATTCAAGGAATTCAGGGTCATCCACTACCAGGGGGGCTCGGCATCTAGCTTGGGAAAGTGTTGCTCGGGCCGCGTGTCGTTCGCTGCCCTGGGTTTAAATAGATTCAGCACGAGGGAGGAACCACAGGATTGGCCACAAGCAGACCACTGATTGGCCGAGGAAGCTGCATAAGAAACAGCTGGATAGGCCGGCCGAAGCCTAAGGCTGGCAAACTGGTGCAAGAGTGAGTCAGATTCGGAGCACAGCCCTGCACGACTGCAGAACAAGGGGTAAGAGGTCTGCATATACTTGTAGAACTACAAGTAACCGCTCAGTTGCAAGTCTGCAGCTGAACTGTGACAGGACCGATTAGAAGACCTGTGCTGACCGCTAGTCTCTTCTCATACATCAGCTTTATGCTCCCCAGCCCCCTGTTTATCATCTACTACTACAAGGTTGAACATTCCATAGGACCGATTAGAAGACCTGTGCTGATTGCTGTCCTTTTCTCAAAACGTCAACTTTATGCTCCCTAGACCTCTCTTGGTCACCTGCTGTGAGATTTCCATAGGACAAATTAGAAGATCTGTGCTGACCACTAGTCTTTCCTCGATGCACCAGCTTTATGGTCCCCAACCCTCTATTCATTTGCTACAGGGTTTAACTTTGCATAGGACAGGTTAGAAGACCTGTTCTGATTGCTAGTCTTTATTCGATAGGTCCACTTTATGCTCCCCAACCCCCTATTGGTCATCTGCTATGAGGTTGAACATTCCATAGGGCAGATTAGAAAACCAGTTCTAAATGCTAGTCTTTTCTCCAATACATCAGCTTTATGCTCCTCAAACCCCCTTTTGGTCATCTGCTATGAGGTTGAACATTCCATAGGACAGATTAGCAGACCTGTGCTGATCACAAGTCTTTCCTCGATTTGCCAGCTTGATGGCCCCCAACCCTCTATTGGTCATTTGCTACAAGGTTTAACATTGCATAGGACAGATTAGAAGACCTGTGCTGATCGCTAGTCTTTCTCAACCCCCTGTTGGTCATCTGCTATGAGGTTGAACATTCCATAGGGCACATTAGAAGGCCTGTGCTGACCACTAGTCTTTTCCCATACACCAGCTTTATGCTCCCCAGCTCCATGTTTATGATCTACTACGAGGTTGAACATTCCATAGGGCAGATTAGAAGACCTGTTCTGATTGCTGTCCTTTTCTTAATACGTCAACTTTATGCTCCCTAAACCTCTGTTGGTCAGCTGCTGTGAGGTTTCCAAAGGACTGATTAGAAGATGCTGGATAAGCTATATTTATGCTCCCCTCTCCATTCTTGGAGATAGCTTGCTCTGAAGATGGTCGGATTGTCCTGTACAGATGTCAAGTCTCAAGACTGTGAAGATCTCAAGCATGTGGGCTGCTTTCGAATGGTAGTCACAGTTTGTCACACCACTACTCACATCCGTGACATTTCCTCTTAAACTTATGGCTCTTGTGTAATGCTGCTAGACTGCAAAGCAGAAAGAGCTGCGAGCGGCTTCCCATGATCGTTGCAGCTGTCAGCATACTGACACCCATGTGACTGAAGCATCCAGGGCAGGGGAAGCAGGACAATCTATTTTGGGTGCTGCTGACCACATTGTAGTGGTAACAGAATGATTGAATCATCTCGTCAGGCATTGTTGTTGTTTCCCAATCTGTTGGGGAAACTTTATATCTGATCTGTAATGATATTCTATTACCGTTCTGTGGAGGTGGTACTCATGGCAGGCATTTAGACCGAGCTTCATGTATGCCTTCTATAGGGATGGGAGCTGTCATGTCTACAAGGGTTATACGGAAAGCGGGTGTATATTTTCCACAGGAACCAGACATTTTTATTACGAATATCAGTAGTTAGGTATTTCTGTGAACTTTTATGCCTGCAGTGGAAAGATGACCTTTGGGACGTAACGAGAGTCCTGTGGGCCGAGGTCTTAAGAACACAACTCGCGTACCTGACAATTATTAAGTCTTCACTGGAAAATAATACTCCATCCGTAACAAAAAATTTCCGGGAGCTGTTTATCTGAACTGCAGATTATATATCTATACACAGTTGTGTGAAAAAGTGTTGGCCCCCTTCCTTATTTTTCATTGTTTTGCACGTTTGTCACACTTTAATGTTTCAGATCATCAAACAAATTTAATTATTTGTCAAAGATAACACAAGTAAACACAACATGCAGTTTTTAAAGGAAGGTTTTGATTATTAAGGGAAAACAAAATCCAAACCCACATGGCCCTGTGGGAAAAAGTGTTAAAACAACTTAACTCTGGTTTATCACACCTGAGTTCAATTTCTCTAGCCACACCCAGGTCTGATTACTGCCACACCTGTTCGCAATCAAGAAATCACTTAAATAAGACTTGACTGACAAAGTGAAGTAGACCAAAAGATCCTCAAAAGCTACACATCATGCCGAGATCCAAAGAAATCCAGGAACAAATGAGAAAGAAAGTAATTGAGATCTATCAGTCTGGAAAAGGTTATAAAGCCATTTCTAAAGCTTCGGGACTCCAGCGAACCACAGTGAGAGCCATTATCCACAAATGGCGAAAACATGGAACAGTGGTGAACCTTCCCAGGAGTGGGCGGCCAACCAAAATTACCCCAAGAGCGCAGCGACGACTCATCCAAGAGGTCACAAAAGACCACACAACTACATCCAAAGAACTGCAGGCCTCACTTGCTTCAGTTCAGGTCAGTGTTCATGACTCCACCATAAGAAAGAGACTGGGCAAAAATGGCCCGCATGGCAGAGTTCCAAGACGAGAACCGCTGCTGAGCAAAAGGATGCTGATAATTTAATATATCCAGCCAGTCACATCAGGCTTCCCAGCACTGGTTCAGGTAGTTGTGCTCTTCAGTTCATTGTATTTTTTGATTGGGTTCCACAGGGTTCCTCTCCTTGTTTTTGAAGAGTTTTTACACACCATTCCCTAAAATAAGAAATTGAGAGACTTGTCCATATCACACGAGTGCGCTTCCATGTTTGTTTCTTTTTCAAGAAATCACGGAAAACCTTTTATAACAAAGTTTTTCATAGATATTTTATCGGCTCCAACATTGTCACAGGAACATATGTCCCCATTGGATGATATTTCCTCACGTCTTGATTTGATGACCACACCAAATTTTTGGATTTCTCCACTTTCCGTCTCGGGAAACCAGAAGGGTTAACTTCCTGAGTGCAGACACAGACAAAAGGCAATAAAACTTGGCCAAGTGTCTAATCTTTCCCTTCTCTATCCAAAACTCTGCCCACCACTCACTACAATATGACCATATAATCTCTGTGCAACCAACTTTAGATCTACCAAAACAATGTAATATGAAGACCAAAACAATGTAATATGAAGACTTCTCTAAACTGGCCAGTCAGTCTGTATCAGGGTCTTTTAGGTGCCTTTTAATTTTTCCATCTTGTTTTACCCCAAAGCACTGCCAAAGTTGCCCCGGCTGTGGGCACTTTGGGTATACCCCCTCAAACTTCCTCTAGACTGTTGGGTTGGACCCTGAGCAACCAATGGCCAGGCCTGAGTATTGTCGAGTGGAGGGCGTGGCAAGTCCTTTTGCAGATATTGACTTTTCAAAAGTCGGTATTTGCATAGGAACTTTGCTGACTCTGGTCTGTAGAGGGCAGGATGCAAATTTAAAGGTGCCTTCTGGTTTTGGTATTCACTCACTGGAGTTCTGTATGATATCAGACAGGACTGATAATAAAGGAGAATACTGGAAAAGTAAACCTGGGATTAACAAATCATTATAAGAACTACAATGCCGCATTATGTAACTGTGAGGAAGGATATCCGGCACCTTGAGAGATTATTCAAGCTGAAACACTGATAATAATTAGGTGCTGGAGGAACTATAAACGAGTAGGTTCAAGGCTGACTGATTTTTATCCCACGTGTTGTACATTTTGGAAAGTTCATTTGATACGAAATATATATAACCCCTAAGACATAAACCACAACTTCATCACCAAGCTAACCATTATCCTTAAACTTTCAGGTCAGCCTAACCTCTAAACCTAAAAAGTTAACCTCAGCCTAACCGCTTAAGCTCAACCGAACCCCTAAACCTAAAGCTCATTCTCAACCTAAACCCAAAGCTTAACTTCAACCTAACCCTGAGCCCTGAAACTTCACCTCAACCTAACCTTAAAGGCTAACCTCAACCTAACCCCTAAATCTAAAGGGTAACCTCAACCTAATCGAAAGGGTAAACCAATAGCTAAACCTAAAGGTTAAGTGAGTAATTTTGAAAAATTGATTTACCCACTCAAATATAGCTGCAAAGGGCGGAGCCAACTCTATACTGAACCCTACGCACTAAGACTGGGATGCCATTAAAGTTCATGTGCGGGGGAAGGGCGGCGTCCCAATACTTTTGGAAATATAGTGTATTTCTATCTGTGACTCCAGTGGGGAGGTTTTGCTCTCACTGTTGTCTGTACAAGAAAAGATGAGTAAGGGTATCGGTGGGACAGGAATTTATGATCAGCAATCAAAATGTTGTCAGCAGTTCTCAGTGTCAAGGGACATTTCCTCAAGAGGGACAGTAAAAATTGAACACATGCTGAAACCTTGTCGAAGGGATAATAGACATCCTGGAACTTTCCTTTTTACTATAACCTGAATGTTAATAAAGGATAGCGGACATTTTACCATCTGAACACTGAAATGTATGTCCATCTTTCTTTTGACAGCTGTGGATCCAAGATCATTATTATCTTCCTACGAAGTCATCGTACCCCAGAAAATCACTCGGCTGAGAAGAGATGCGTCCGGCTCCCTCAGAGAGGTAAATCTGCTTGTTGCATTTGCTGCAATATTCACCTTCAATCCAGAGATTTCCCTGCAGTACTTATTTCTGCCACTAGATGTCCTCAGTCTGATGGCCAGCATCTTTCATCAACCCACTTCCTCTAAGCCCAAAGCATCCTGGACCCACCCCCAACTGTAACTATACAGAGAAAGGAGAAGCAGTAACATAACCTAAGAACATTCACTTCTAAGAAATCGTAACCTAGGAACATTCAATCCCAGGAGAAACTAGGCCAAGAACATTCAATCCTAGAAGAATATAGCCTAAGAATAGGGCTTGAAAAATCCGCTCGTCTGTGACGAGAGGACGGTGAAGCCCGATGAGTAGCTTCCTGGCCGGCCGTTGTAATTAAACCGCTGGCCGGTAGCTTTACAGTCAAGCAATCGGGCGTCTTTAGAGACGCCCAATCACTTGTATTAGCAGCAGCTGTCAATGCCGTTGCCGGTCCCAAGATCCACTGTGCCCGGTGCAGCCAGGACCGGCAAGACTGTTCTGTGATGGGAGATCGGTGCAAGATCTCCCTCTGATCTCCTCTCTGGTCCCTGAATGCAGGAAGTGATCTATATTACATCACGTCCGCATTCCTCTGCCACTCTCCAGCTACAGAAGCTGGGGAGAAGCTGGTGAAGCAGATCTCTGCTTCATCAGCTTCTCTGGAAGTCCCTAGGTGACATTAGGGGTCTGGGAGGACCTGTCATGTAAATTGGCTATGACATAGGGGGCTTCCTAGCCCTCCCATGTGATAGCAATAAAGTTAAGTCTAAAAAAAAAAATTAAGCATAAAAATATTTTTTTTTTTAAAGTCCCCCGCCCCCCACATATACACGCAAACATGCGTCGGGTGTGCCTACGTACAAAAACGATTATGCCCATTATGCTGCACAAGTTGCATATCGCCACGAACGTCGCAGTGAGAGCAATCATTTTAGGGCCATCAATCACTGATGACACTCAACTGATAAGCGGTAAAAGCTTTTAAAGCGTCGCCTACGGCCAATTTTCGGTGTGGTGGTTTTGTGCGATTTTGCCGGGGTGTGCGCAATGTTAAGGCTCGACATGTTTGGTGTCTATTTACCCGACGTGACCCGATCTTTTATATTTAACAAAAAAATTGGAAAATTGGGTAATAATAAATGTTTTTTAACATAACGTAGGGGAAACATTTTTTCCCCCGAAATTTACAATTCTTTTTTCATTATATAGTAAAAAAATAACCCCCCCTCCCGGTGGTGATTATATACCTCCAAAAGAAAGCTCTATCTGTCCCTAAAAAATTTGAACATAAATTGCAAGGCTATAGTCCGGTCATGCTAACTTGACATTTTTGACTGGCTGGTGAGACACCCTAAAAATTTTCAAGCCCTGCCTAAGAACAATCAATCCTAGGAGAAAATAGGCTAAGAATAGCAATATAGCCTAAGAACTTTCAACCTTGGGAGACAGTATCCCAAGAACATTCAGTCCTAGGAGAAAATATCCCAAAAAGATTCAATCCTGGGAGAAACTAGCCCAGAACCTTCAGGGTCCATACACACTACATCCAGATTACCTCCAGACCAGACTGTTTCCGGACCCAAAATGCATCCCAATGTATCCCTGTGCTATTTCTGGCCTCTGTTCCCACCAGCGCAGTCTGTTCCAGACCAGAAAAATACTGCCTGCCCTATTTTGTCTGGTCTGGAATGCACTGTAACGCATCATAAACGTGTAAGACCATTTTAAGTAGGGTTGCACAGATACCAAGTACAGTACTCGGTACAAGTAGGAGTACATGTACCGATACTTTTGAGCTCTAAGACTAGACTAGAGAAAAATTCAGAAGTTAGGAGGCCGCTGTCATTTGTAAGGAGCACACGGAGCTCCCGGGATTTGTACAGCTCTGTTTTAATGTACGGTTTTGTTTTTATAAATGTAAATAAAGGGACGCACAGATACCAGTTTTGCGAGTACGAGTACTGGTACTTCCCGAGTCCTCACAGATACAAGTACTGATACATTTTTGTTTATTGTCATGTGACAGTTTTTTCTAAAACAATACAGACTAATGATTTCAGGACAGTGGTGGAGCACCAGAGCCAGGTCCCAGCTGCAACCTCTGCAACCCTGATAGTTCTCATGAAAATGCCAAGTATCTGTGCATCCCTAATTTTAAGCTAAAAATGTTAAGCTAATTCCCATTGCGGTAAAATCGCGCCAAAAATGCAATGCACTATGTTCCAGATCTGGTCCAGAAAATGGTGTGAACCCAGCCTGAATCCTAGCGGAAACTAGCCCAAGAACACTCAATCCTAGGAGAAACTAGCCCAAGAACCTTCAGTCCTAGGAGAACATAGCCCAAGAACATTCAATCCTAGGAGAAACTAGCCCAAGAACATTCAGTCTTAGGAGAAACTAGCCCAAGAACATTTAGTCTTAGGAGAAACTAGCCCAAGAACATTCAACCCTAGGAGAAACTAGCCCAAGAACATTCAATCCTAGGAGAAACTAGCCCAAGAACATTCAGTCTTAGGAGAAACTAGCCCAAGAACATTTAGTCTTAGGAGAAACTAGCCCAAGAACATTCAACCCTAGGAGAAACTAGCCCAAGAACATTCAATCCTAGGAGAAACTAGCCCAAGAACATTCAATCCTAGGAGAAACTAGCCCAAGAACATAAAATCCTAGGAGAAACTAGCCCAAGAACATTCAATCCTAGGAGAAACTAGCACAAGTACATTCAATCCTAGACTTTTGTTGGATGAATAGCTGTGCAAATGCTTTATGAATAGACCCCTTCATTGTTTTGCTCCTCAGAATACAGTCACTTTCTGGTGGGAGTTAAAACACTGAAAGTTAAAGTGAAACGGATGAAAGGTCACACCGGTGTGGTTTGGTAACGAGCGGGTGATGCACGCAGTGCCGAGTCATTCCTGGGGCAGTTGTACTTATTTTTGGGTGGTGGTTGTATAGATATGACTGTGGAAAGTCTGTGGGCGGGGTTAGTTCTGCTTCATATCTAGGTTGCGTTTGATCTATAGGTAGTATCTTCTGGGGTGATTTTATGGCGTGTACTGACTTACTTGTTGCATTCACTCTGATGTATCTGATTTTGTGTTGATCTTTTGTGTTTAATATTCTGCAGGGTCTGTCTTACGTTATCAAGGCTGAGGGCCAGGAGCACATAATACACCTCGAGCACAACAGGTATTCCTTCTCTTCTCATCTGCCGCTTGCTTCTTCCCGTCTTCCTCAAATTTATTCTATTTTATGTTAATGTAAGAGGACAAGAAACCCTCTTGTATGGAAGGGACCCTTCCTGTGTGTTTTACCTGGGGGACTTCCCTACCTACCTCACAGAGATCTGACAGAGATGTCACCCCCCCTTGCTGGTGTGATCTGGTATTCCCGACACAGAGATCTGACGGTAGAGATGTCACCCCCCTGCTGGTGTCATCTGGTATTCCCGACACAGAGATCTGACGGTAGAGATGTCACCCCCCTGCTGGTGTCATCTGGTATTCCCGACACAGAGATCTGACGGTAGAGATGTCACCCCCCTGCTGGTGTCATCTGGTATTCCCGACACAGATCTGACGGTACAGATGTCGCCCCCCTGCTGGTGTGATCTGGTATTCCCGTCCACAGAGATCTGACGGTAGAGATGTCACCCCCTGCTGGTGTGATCTGGTATTGCCACTCAATTCCCAGTTGGGGCAACTTTATAAAAGCTTCCATTCACACGCCACTATCGCCCCTAGATGACACTGATGAGCGTAGGGATTTTCTCCACTCATCAGCGCCACCCAGGAGAGCTAGTCCCACGCGAATGGCATTGGAACCCCCCCAAGTGTATCAACGCATAGAATTACACAAAGGAACACCAGACCAAAAACTAATAATTTTACATTTTTAGTAAATGGATCATGTAAAGACAGTCAACATATTTTGGTAAGGGGCGGGGCAAGCACTCCACCTTCATCAGGGCTACAAAAATATCTACAGAACGTTGTCTTAATTTTATTTGTTTTTGTAGCCCAGATGAAGGGGGATGGGATTTGCCCTCAAAATGCGTTCGATGTTTTATATGACGTATTTAGCAATAGTGATGTGCGGGGGGTGCAGATGCGAGGGTCCCCCCAGACCAATCAGATGCAGCAGGGACATTCCCTGTCCCTTTGTGACAATAGCTCCAGGGTAGGGAATGCTTACACTGCAATGGATTGTCTGCTGTACAGAAAAGTACCCATCGATCTGCTTGTTTGGGCTGACAACACGGTTCCTTTGCTGCACAGAAATCGAAACCAGCGTCAGCCCTGCCTGCTGGACTACAGAACCCCCCCTTACCCCTTCCTTGTCATCACCCCACCCGCACTTACCCATCCAAAGTACCAATCAATACAACAAAGAAGCAGAATAAACATACGGCTACAGCTTAATGTTGCCAAAAACTGGATTTGATTGTTACACCCACAGAACCTGTATATGGGCAGGGGTTAGTTTATCAGCTTTATAACTGTCTCACTAGTTGGAAGATGGGGTACATCCTTGTAGGGGGGGATACATCCTTGTAGGGGGGATACATCCTTGTAGGTGGGGTACATCCTTGTAGGTGGGATACATCCTTGTAGGTGGGATACATCCTTGTAGGGGGGATACATCCTTGTAGGGGGGATACATCCTTGTAGGGGGGATACATCCTTGTAGGGGGATACATCCTTGTAGGGGGATCCCTTTTAATGCATTGTAACAGTTGGGACGGAACATAGGTAAAGTAGAACAGTGCCCCTCCCCCATTGTGCTGCATCTGCATTTACAGTGAGATGCAGTGTCTGGGAAGGGGAGCATGTGATACAAAGGAGAACTTAGCTCATTTAGGGAAGGAAAATTAGTTTTGGGGGGTTTTTGTTTTGCTATTATGTGGCTTGTACTTCACATACCGTAGTAATTGGATTTAGAACTGTTAGCTTGTCACACAGAAGCCGTTAGATGCACTTTTGTTCTGTAATTTAAGAAATGGACCCCTTGGTTCAATGCATCGCCCACTTTCCCTCTGGTAGCTGGCCATGGCCATGGATGGCAATGTTGGTATAGCGGCCCATAAATAATATTTCTATGAGCTCTGAACACCCGGAATAGACCGTTTAAGTCTTTGAACTCAGTATTGTTATTAACATGAAATGTGCGTTGTTTGGTTATGAAGGAATGTGGGTGAGACCTGCTCAGATGATGGATTATATCATTGATTGTTCCTTTTACTGGGGAGCAAAGTCTGAATTACAGACCTCGGGTAGAAGTCTTGTTCTGGCTAGGCTATGTGTCATATCTGAACATGTAAATAAAAGTAAATCACCGGCACACACTTGAAGGGTTTTTAAAGTATTGATATGTTTATTTAATACCCAATGTCACATACTGTCATACGTATCACAGTATGACAGTATGTGACATTGGGTATTGAATAAACATATCAATACTTTAAAAACCCTTCAAGTGTGTGCCGGTGAATTACTTTTATTTACTATTTGGTGTTTTGCACGGAGCCATCCGTGTGGTCACCTGGGCACCACATATACCTTGTGGTTTTGAGACCGTGGCAGTGCGAATGGGATTTGGACTTTATATCTGAACATGTGACGTGTCACGGGAAGGGGTGGTATGAATGTATTTGTACATGGGCTGCGTACACTTGGAGACGTGGTCACCCTTATCTGAAATGGTGGGTCTGGTATGGATTTTAAAGGGGGACCTCGTGCAGAGCCCCTTTTACGTGACAAGTCCCCCCCTCTTTTACGTGACAAGTCCCCCCCTCTTTTACGTGGCAAGTCCCCCCCTCTTTTACGTGGCAAGAAAAAAAAAAAATGTCCATGCTTCTATGAATAGATCCCCCCCCCCAGATTAGCGTTCTTCATTTCCATGGTGCTGGTGGCCAGCCTGCCTGCACTATGAAAAAACATGCCACTGTGTGGGGGAAAAAAAAGGCACCCCTGTGGAAGTCAGCAGACAACCCCAGTGTGCCACAGCACGCTGATTGAGAAAGGATGGTCTATATCGTGGGTAGGCAAATCCTGGCCCTCCAGCTGTCGGACATTTAGGCATTGCAAGACTCTGACAGCCACGGGCATGACTCCCAGAGGCATGATGGGATTTGTAATCTCACCACAGCTGGAGTTTGCCTACCCCTGGTCTATAAGATCAGCCAATACACAGGGGACTGATTGGTAGTGTATGTCCAATCTGCACTGTGAGTCATAAAGTGCACCTGTGTACAGACTATGGGCATTTAAATATTTACATATTCTTAACAAGCGGCAAAAAAATAAATAAAAGCATTCACCTCTCTAGCTGCTTGTACTGTGAAGCAATTCATCCTCAAACATCCTACAGCAACTCTGAAGTCCCTTTTGGTCAGTTTCTAACCGATTAGAAACACCTGCTGTGTGTTTACATTAGAAGATGGCAGCCTGCCAAGATCTGCTCTCGTAGAAAGTAGCAAAGATTTCAGTGCTTTTGTTGTGAGTTTTGAAAATGAATTTCTCCACAAGGCCTACACCTCCAGAGGTGACTGAGGGCCTGCGTCAGCGTGCTTTTACTGTTTATTCAGAATATGTAAATAACTTTCAGTGTGCGTAGTCTGGGTACTAGCTTACTTTTAAAGCCTCGGTTCTCAACTGGTGGGTTGTGACCCAAAAGTGGGTCGCGACCCCATGTTCATGCTGTAAGCATGCCTTCCACTTTTCTAGGCGAGAGGCTCCTCAGCTTCCCCCTGGCACAGCACTGTCAGTTCTCGCACTGAGCAGCCATTCAAAATATGCTGCCCGGTGCCGAGTGTTAGCTTGGGGTGGGCTTGGGCTATGGCCGCAAAGGAGCTCCATCCATTTGTGCATTGCTTACAGATCCCCCACATGCCCTGTAGAGGTGCCTGGACCGGAGTGATGTCACATTCTGTCTCCCAGCACCTCTACAGGCAAGGGAGTTGTTTTTGGGTTTTTTTTTAAGAGCCCGTGGACGTGCATCATAAAACAAACTTCCCCCTGTGAACAAAAAAAAGTGAACCGTGAACTCCTCCCCAGCATCGGGAATAGGCCCCGAAGGTACCTGCACCCTAAGCAATCTGTGGGTGAAAATAGGAAAATAAAAAAGTGCCAAATCGTGCATGAGGTGCAATAAATAAATAAAGAGTGCCAGTGCACCACGCTGACAGGCCCTAGGGGCCGAGTGCAGAAAAATTGCCCCGGACTAGCCATAAGGCCTGTCCAAGAGGCGATGTGCAGAAACTGCAAGGTGGTGTGTGACCAAGTGCATCAGTGAGTCAAAGTTGTGTCCCACACCCAAGTGACTTTCTGAGCACCCCTGGGACGCCACCCCCAGAGGGCACAACACCACGGGCTCTGCCGCCTCCCAACCCTCCAGCCTCGACCAAGCTTCGTATCCATTCCCATCAGAAGGTAGTGCCGTCAGGGGTCCATCCCTACCACCGGTGACAAGCCCAGCATAACTGGGCCAGAATCTAACCAGGAGGGACTGTACCCCATCTAACACCCACCAATTACGCTGGTAAATACTAAGCCACCATCCTAATCACTCGAGAAGGAGTGGTGTAGTTCTTCCACCGGCAACTGATAAGAACAGATACTACACTTGATCTTAGCCAAAAGGCAGAGAAGCGATATTGTACCAGCAACATATGGATGGAGCTCGGTCATGCCACAGTAGCCCACACTGTACACCAGGCTGAGGATCCACTCCAGTTCTCGTAAGATAGGGAGCCTGGGGATCGTATAAAAAAAAGAAAAAACATTTTTTTGGGGAATGTGTATGTGTGTGTGTGAGAATGTCTGTGAATGTGTGAGGTTGTGTGTGTCTGTCAGTGTTTTTCAGGGCCCGTTCATACTAGTAATGGCACCCCAAATGCACCTGCCACCCACAGTTCAATCGCCCCGCACCGGAACACGCTCTACCGCAATGCCGTGCATTCCAGTGCGGTACAACTTGGGTCATGACTTAATGACCGAGGACAAATGTGGGTCCTGAGGTTACACAGGTTGTGAACCACTGGTCTAAAGCATATATGGACAGCTGACCATTACACCTATCGGAGCATGTTGCTCCGATAGGTGTAATGTTCAGGTGTCCATATAGTGACCATATACTGTAACAGTGGGTGAGTCGGTTATAATTAGGGATGCACCGATAATTTTTTTTCGGTACTCGCCGATACCAATTACCGAGTAACGGAAGTCCCATTCAGGAAGCCAGGTGGTGTATAATGACTCGCCATCCGGCTTCCCGATTAACAAGAAAGTCTGTCCCCTCTTACCTTGGCATGTCCAACCTGTCACCCCCCGGTCCTCTCCAGCCAGAACGCAGCCTTCCTCCGGTACCCAGCCGGAGCCGTCAGACAGGTCAATCATGGAAGCCGGCTGCCGTGTAATGACGCAACGCCCTGCTTTTCTGATTGGCCGGGAGGCCGGCTCCATGCTCCCTCGTCATGAGATGACGAGGGAGCACGAATCCAGCTTCCCGGCCAATCAGAATGCCGGGCGCTGCATCATTACACGGCTTCCTGATTGGCCAGCTTCCACTTGTGATGAGAGAGCATGGAGCCGACTTCCCGGCCAATCAGGAAGCCGGGCAGCGTGTAAGGACACGCTGCCCGGCTACCTGATACAGGAAGTATCGGACTAGGCATCGGAGCATTTGGGCGAGTACTCGCCCAAATACTAGGTATCGGTCAATTTACGTAACCGTGTATATACTGTTCATTCACATCAGTCCCTGCCCCACAAGGAGCTTACAATCTAAGGTCCCCCATCTCGCATACCAGGGCCAGTTTAGACAGGAGCCAGTTAAGCTACCAGCATGTCTATGGAGTGTGGGAGGAAACCGGAGTACCCAGAGAAGGTCCATGTAAGTACAAGGAGAACTTACAAACCTCATGCAGATAGTGTTCTGACTGAACCAGGGTAACTTGGTGCTGCAAGCCAGACGTGTTGAGCACTGAGCCATATTTATATCTATATATATTCAGCTTCCCATCAGGACACCCACTCCACGTTCCCTGTTTATCATCAGTGGATGTGGACTATGGCCATATGAGTTCTGACTTGTCAGTATTGTGTAATTGTCTCCGACTCGTGCCATTCCAGTGTGCTGCACCCTCTTTGTTTGTAAATGAGAAAGTATTGGGAGACCATCTGTTGTGCACATTGATCTCGTGCAGGGAGGAGAAACACTTGTAACTGTTCTTTGCCCTTTACATCGATCATTCCCTATTGTCTAGAACAGGGGTGGGCAGACTCCGGCCCTCCAGCTGTCGTGTAACTACAAATCCCATGAGACATTGGTCTCCGGGGGTCATGCCTCTGGCTGGGAGAATCTTACAATGCCTCGTGGGATTTGTAGTTCCACAACTGCTGCAGGGCATGCTGCACATGCACACAAGAGCTACATCCTCCCCAGCATCAGGACCATTGACAAGAGGGGTGCCATTAGTTTGATCACACTCTTCCAACTCTGGTAGATCGTAATCACAAGTCGGCTCGCTGTCCTGTTCTTCCGAGGCGCTAGTGCAGTCGAACAGGACATGTTTGTGCTTGTTGTGGCTTCTGTTTAATTATGTGGAACACGCAGGATCCTCTGTATTCCACATATTAAACAGAACCCACCACAAGCACAAAGCAAAATTAAGCCAATGTATTAGTTTTGTACCAGCGCATGTGCGCTGTCAGCAGGTAGACAACTCGACGAGTATTCTTATGGGCATCTCCTGCTGGTAAGTCATTGGAAGTGACACGGTTGCAGATCGCGATGAGTTAGCTATTTCGACAGAACACAGGCAGAGACTAAGGAGAGTGAGGAGCGACGGCCAGGGGGAGAGAGTGAGGAGCGACGGCCAGGGGGAGAGAGTGAGGAGCGACGGCCAGGGGGAGAGAGAGGCCAGGGGGCCGAGAGGGAGGAGAGACGGCCAGGGGGCCGAGAGGGAGGAGAGACGGCCAGGGGGCCGAGAGGGAGGAGAGACGGCCAGGGGGTCGAGAGGGAGGAGAGACGGCCAGGAGAAGGACAGTGTTTAAAATACTAAATCCTAGAGATACCATAAATGGGCTGCGTGTATACACTGAAGGTGCATGTGCCATGCAGTGTACAAGGAACATAAAAAAATTCCTGGGGGAGAGAGGAAAAACTTTTTGGGCATAAGATACTTTGTATGTTACTTCTGCCAAAAACCCTGACATCCCGGCCATCCCGACCTCCCAGCAATTGTTTCTATTTCTTTTACTTTAACTTCCGTATTAAATATTGGTTTGCACAGATGGATCTTCCCAATCATTAAGTGGCTGGGAGCTGTTGGTGACAGTGCGGTCCCAGCACACAACATGGCCGGCCATGCGCATATATGTAGCAGCAGGGCATTAGGCCCACCGACGCACTGCCACAAATATGCATGCGTCTAGTGTTAAAGACTTAATGAAGAATAACGTCATCACAAAGCATCACATGATCTGAGGTAAAAAAACAAACATCTCCATCATTTCAGAAATGCTTTCACATTCCACTCCCACTCACCTCATTAGGCGCTGCCACTTCAAGGGTAACAGCCCAACCCCCATTCATCTGAATTATTTACCCTCCAAGGACGCGATGTCATATTCCGGAATCTTTCTCGCTCGCCATGCAGGGACCTGCAGAGATTTTTCACAATGTACTTGGGGAAAATCACAATGTGCGCTGGGGGGAGGCTGAGGAGCCGCTCACCTAGAAAAGTAGAAGGCATGCGGAGACCCACTGAACATGGGGTCGCGACCCACTTTTGGGTCACGAGCCACCAGTGGAGAACCAAGGCTCTAGCAGACCTGTCCAGAGAGAGAAAATAAATTTTCATGTGAAACACCCAGCTTCTGAGCTGCCACGGATGAAGCACAATAGATGTATACACTGCAGTGTTGAATTAGAGATTTAATCTGTCATTCTGAGATGCTTATCTGTGGAGTTTTTTTTCCTGTTCCAACAGAGATTTGTTGGCCAAAGATTTCACCGTATATACGTATGCAGAAAATGGAACAAGACTGGCAAGTCCGCTTCAAAAAGAGGTGCGTGCTACTAAAGAAAACTCAGTGTTGTATTGATTGTAGATAAGCAACGGTATGTACAGGCAGTCCCCGGGTTACGAACAAGTTAGGGACTGTAGGTTTGTTCTTAAGTTGAATTTGTATGTAAGTTGGAACAGGTAAATTTTTTAAGTGTAACTCCAGCCAAATGTTTTGGGGGGGATAGCATAGGGAAGGGTTAACCCCCCCTGTAACATTTGTTTTGCTGTGTGTGCCCCTGTTCATAAGATTTCACCTCACTTTCTGTCCCTGTGACAATTAGATTTTGAGAATTGTGGGTTGTCGTGGAAACAAGGATTGGTGATAAAGCTTCCTAGGGGTAGATTTCCTCTTCCTGTTGTCTCAAGGACAGCAAGTGAGATTAAATCTTTCTAATGAAGATACACACAGCAGTAAAAACCTCACAGTGACCCGGAAGAAGAGGCGGGCACCCCTCGTCTACATGTCTAACAAGAGCCAATTTCCTGTAATGTACGTACAGTACTACAAACCAGACCCAAAAAGGCGGGCACTGCTCGTCGGCACGAGTGCTGTAGCATTACATCTACTGAAATGCTGCGCGGTATACTTTGGCTGCAGCCTGGGGCCCTCTGCTGTACAGTAATACCCTCCGTTTGTAAGTAGGGGTCGTATGTAAGTCGGATGTTTGTAACTTGGGGACTGCCTGTATTCTTTATTTTGTGTCCTTTGCTAGTACACTATATTGCCAAAATTATTGGGACGCCGGCCTTTACACGCACATGAACTTTAATGGCATCCCAGTCTTAGTCCGTAGGGTTCAGTATTGAGTTGGCTCCGCCCTGTGCCGCTATAACAGCTTCAACTCTTCTGGGAAGGCGTCCACAAGGTTTAGGAGTGTGTCTATGGGAATGTTGGACCATTTGTGAGGTCAGGTACTGATGTTGGAGGAGAAGGCCGGGCTCGCAGTCTCCTCTCTAATTCATCCCAAAGGTGATTACACAGGCAGAATTTATATTTCTTTTTTTGGGCAGGGTAGTGTTGGCTATGGGTGTTGGCAAATTTTAATGACTTTGCACTTTGTAATATACACACACATACATGTACAATATACACTGCCTGGCCACGAAAAATAAAAGTCACACATTCAACAATATTTTGTTGGGCCGCCTTTAGCTTCGATTACAAGGAATCCAATGTTCTACCACCACAAAGTGAACGTACATTTAGCCCTGCTTGCCCAAAACCGGGCTAACTGTAGAAAACAACTACCCGCCCGGGACATGCAGTTCGGGAGATAGGAATTCCACACCCCTGCTGCTCCTCTTCTCCCTGCCGCCCCGAGGCCCGGGCTTGGTTGGCCTTGTGGGAAATCCGGCCTGCTATTACGTGTGTGCGGGTCTACAAATCCAACCGAAGCCTCTTATGGCAAACCCTGGTAACACTCTGTTGAGTGGCTAATGCAGCTCTGGTACTTATTTCCACATGGAGCCACAGAAATTTAAGGCTCCAAGGTTTGAAATACACCGAAGATCGCAGTGTGGTCATGGTAGTGGATGGGATGGGAATAACCTTGGCTGATAGGGGCTTGGTGATAAGAATCCCGGAAGATAGGAACACATTGGCATTTATTTTAACGTGCCCATTCTTTTATTCCTTTGTACTTGAACGATTTTTATCAGTCAATTGACTACATTTTTACCGTGTCCTGTTTTTTGTCAGGCAGCAGGAACTGGTGATAAGATAAAAGGGCAGTGGAGGTCAGAGGCTGGCCTCCTGTAATAGGAAATGAGCCAGTCTCCAGTAATCTGAGTAATGAAAAGTGTTTTCCTGCTCCATAAATCATACATCAGTTGGCTGACACATTTTATTTCTGGGGAAATGTAACATAAGGCTTGCAAAACAGACTTTTATTCTAGCCGGCAAACAGGCTGTTACTTTACAACACTTCATACTGCTGATTTTTTACATATGATGCAGTTTTGGGAATACACTTTCATCATGTGTGAGCTTATCGGAACTAAGATACAACCTACATTGCCTACTGTACACTGGGGGCATCCATGTTATGGAATACAACAGGATTGGCCATTCTGAAAGGCTTAACTCCATAGCTCGCAACTATCCCTCATTTGGAAGCCAAATTCCTGGATCATAGTGATATTGCGAAATGTTTTCTGTAATTAGTATCACACGTCTTCAGTCCTGCAATCTGTCAGCGGATTTAAATGGAGAAAGGTCGTCACTCTGCTGTTTGGTATTATTGTATGCAGCACACTGTACATGGACCAGGGAAAGCAAAGGAGAAAGTTGTCCAAGGTGATCAGAAAGAGGCTAGAAGACCGTCTCCAGGCAGCTTAATGTTTCTGTGACTACAGTTGTAAATATTATTATTAAGTTGAATGTCCATGGGAGTGTAGCCAACATCCCTGGAAGAGGCCCCAAGAGTATAATTGACCTCAGATTGAACAGAAGGATAGTGCGAATGGTAAAGAGCCAAGGAGACCTTCCAAAGAAATATAAGCTGAACGCCAAGTTCAAGGTACATCAGGGCGTAACTGCATCATCTTTCCTTTTTTTAAGCAACCTTGGTCTCAAAGAAAGAAGACCCAGGAAGAAAGAAAAACATAAGAAAAGCCAGACTAGAATTTGATGAAATTCATATTGACAAGCCATAATGCTTCTGGGAGAATGTCTTTTTGACAGCTGAGACAAAATTGGAGCTTTTTGGCAGGCCACATGCTCACTGATGAAAAAATGTATACTTTCACAGAAAATAACACCATGCCTACTGTGGAACATGGAGGAGGCTTGGTTATCTCACCGTACCTACTGTGGAATATGGAGGAGGCTCAGATATCTCTCGTACCTACTTGAAACATGGAGGAGGCTCGGTTATCTCACCATACCTACTGTGAAACATGGAGGAGGCTTGGTTATCTCACCCTAGCTACTGTGGAACATGGAGGAAGCTCAGATATCTCATTGTACCTACTGTGAAACATGGAGGAGGCTTGGTTATCTCACCATACCTACTGTGGAACATGGAGGAGGCTCAGATATCTCGCATACCTACCATGAAACACGGAGGAGGCTCGGTTATCTCCCCATACCTACTGTGAAGCATGGAGGAGGCTTGGTTATGTTTACGGGGCTGCCTCTGGCACAGGGTGCCTTGAATCTGTGCATTGCACAATGAAATCTCAAGACTGTCAAAGAATTCTGGAGCGAAATGTACTGCTCAGTGTCCGAAAGCTCTGTCTCAGTCACAAGGCATGGGTCCTCCCAGGATAGCAACCCAAAACACACAGCTAAAATCTCACAAGAATGGCTAAGAAGAAAACATTGGACTATTCCGAAGTGGCCTTCTGCGAGTTCTAATCTGAACCCTATCGAACATCAATGGAAATAGTTGAATCATGCCATCCGGAGAAGATACCCTTCAAATATGAGACAACTGGAGCAGATTACGCAAGAGTCAGTATAGAGGCTTCCTGTTTCTTCACAACCGGGGCTACAGAAAAAGAGATATAGGACTCTGTGTCTTCAATCTCTTTTTCTATTTCAAAAGGGAAATAAAAATAAATACAATATTACACATTTTTAAAAAACGTTAGAATAGAAAAATAAGTTTCAATAATTCTAGGGCCAGTATTTTGGGGTATCTCTAAATTGATGACCTGTGGGGGCTTTTAAAGCGTCTTCTATTGACTTTTTGGGGTACTGCAGTTTTTCGCCGTTTCACGGACGCACGCAATTTGTAACCTATGCATGTTGGGTATCGTTTTACTCGCAAGTAAAATGATTGCCAAGTTCCATTGAGGGGCCACATCACTGTATTGTTATGCACTGTTTTGCCACATGCCTGAATGCGCATAATACCCTTTAAGGATAAGCACACAATTCTAAAACAAAGATGTATCCTTATTGGTTGAGCCCACTGACCTCATTAGCCTAATTTTCTTCCTCTGCATCCCTGTAACCTACAGTATGTATTAGGATACTTCACCTGTGTGTAGGTGATCCTGATTTTACAGGACATTCTCTTGAGAAGCATCTGAAGCTATATTTTAACTTTACCATTGTACAGCTATTGATTGGGTTGGGGCTTCGATATTGTACAGTCATTTTATTTTTAGCCGCACTCTATCTTGTAAATAACTAGCTGCATTTTTTTTAAGCTCTCCATTTAGATATATTGCTGTATCCCAGTGCCCTGTGGGTGATGTGACGATAATGGAGCCTTAGCTCGCCCTCTAGTGTTCAGTTCTTGCAGCGTGCATTGGTCAGGTCTTATTTTCATGCAGTTACATTGTAACTAGGGATGAACCGCTACAATTTTTTCTAGACCGAGTACAAGTACCGATACTTTTCCTGCCGATACCACTTATTTGTGTCATGTAACCGGTTTTCTAAAACAATACAGACTATTTTAGGACAAGGTGAGGTACCAGGGCCCAGTCCAAGCTGCGATCGCTATGACCCTGGTAGTTGTGCCACTGACTCCAAGCTGTAGAGGAACTGCAAATGTCAGCAATACATTATACAGCAATGCAGAATAATACCACCAGCTATTGAGGACTACAAATCTCAGCAATACATTATACAACAATGCAAAATAAAGCACAGGAGAGAATCAGTAGGCAATATTTCTAAAGTAGATGTGGAGTTTTGCTGCACCATACACGTGCATACTCTGTGCTGAGGGTTTTAGGAGGGGGAGACGTGCGGAGGGTTTTAGGAGGGGGAGACGTGCGGAGGGTTTTAGGAGGGGGAGGGGTGTGGGGGTCTCTGGAGGGGGAGACGTGCAGAGGGTCTCTGGAGGAGGACACGGAAGCTCTGTAAACAGGCACTGCATAGTTCCCAAGTTGGCTGCCGCGAGGTCCCCAGCAAACGCAGGGCCTAAGGCAGCCACTCCAATTCAAATAATTAAAGTGCCAGTACCGTTTTTTGGTATTGGAGCAATAGTAAGAGTACTCGTGCAAATGCTCCGTATCAGTGCGAATACTGGTATTGGTGCATTTCTTATTGTGGCTGAACTTTGTCAGCACCCAGCCTGTATACTGCAGTGTCATTTATTGGCAGCACTCCCGGTTCATGTGGCAAGCTCACGCTTTATAGCAATAAAAGTATGATTAAACCTATAATAATACGATTGAAGGTTTATAACTACAGATATGTGTTGTAAATCTTCTGGGTGCGGCTTTAATTCCCGGTGATCATTGACAAACAACTTGCACACAAAGCTATTTACTTATTAGCTAAAGTGAAATCTTTCCACCAGTTCGTCACTGTTCATGTAATCTAATACGGAATTCACTATAATACAGAATTGCCTAATGAGGCTGGCCACGTTGTTTATTGGTCTTCAGTAACTAGGAAGAGTTCTGGCCTCGTTGCAACTTTATGTAACTGTTCAGAACTTTAAATAAAAGTACATTGCGGAATGGCAGATTTTCCACTGCTTGTTACTTGGCAATGGCGGCGCGACTTTCAGAAGCGAAAATGTCCCCTGCGGCTCTGTTTCTGCAACACTATGCGGTGTTCTCGCTGCAGATGTGACACGTTCGCAAAAGGAGCCTGCCAATTAAAAAATATCTGTGTGGGTAATTTTTTTTAAATTAATACTCAGGGCTGTGTTTTAATTTACTGGCTGTGCTTTGCAGTCATAAATCTCCATCGGGCTTCATTTATTACTACTGAATCCAGAAGCACGCAAATGATGATGATGATGATGATGATGATGATGATGATGATGGTGCAGGTCCCTCATTTATGTTTTGCTTTTTGGACACTTTTTTTAATACTAATTAAGATGGACAATGTGATTTATTGTCCACTATTCGCTAATGAAAGCATTTTATATATTGCAGCTTTCTAGTGGTCACTGCATTAGTTTTACCCTAATATCGTTTTTTCCGCGTCGAGTGTGAGTACCGATTATTATTATTATTATTATTATTTTCGGGACTCGGCGAAACCGATACCAGAAGACCCATTAAGGAAGCCAGGCGTCGTGTAATGACTCGCCACCCGGCTTCCTGGTCAGCAGGGAAGCAGTCTCCATGCTCCCTCATCACCAGGTGACGAAGCATGGAGCCGGCTTCCTGGCCAATCGGGAAGCCGGGCGCCTCGTAATGACTCGTTGCCGGGCTTCCTGATTGGTCGAGAAGCTGGCGGATCAGGAGGCTAGGCAGCGAATCATTACACGCTGCCCTACTTCCTGATTGGCTGGGAAGACGGCTCCATGCTCCCTTGTCACCAAGTGACGAGGGATCATGGAACCGGATGCCGGGCAGCGTGTAACGACTCGCTGCCTGGCTTCCTGATACCGAAAGCTCGGGTATCGGACTAGGCATTGGATCATTTGGGCGCGTACGAGTGCTCACCCAAATACTCGGCACCGATACTACGGTAGTAGCGGTAACGGTGCATCCCTAATTTTTACCTGGTAATGCTGCAAATAACACGTTTCCTGTCCCTTTGTGTCTACTTCTCCTTGGTGTCAATGGAATGGATGGAAATGGCACAAATAAATGCAGACCTGTATTCATAGGTCCATTTTTTTAAATGCAAGCAGTGTAAGTACCTGAATTTGACTAATCAGCCTCTTGCAGTCCCCTGTATAGCAGAGCTCAGAGTGTGAGAGGGAGAAGCAGCACAAGAAGCCAATCAGTTGCAGTGTTAACAAGGAGTATGTTGATGGGATGAGAGAGGGGAGTGACAGATAGATGAGGTCATTAGTCTGCTGCTTCTTCATTCACTGTCCAGTCACAGACAGGGAGGGACTAGTCTTGTAACTGTTGCTGAACTGCAGCAGGGAAACATCAGGTCTCCGCTCTGACACGCCAGGCTGTGCTGTATGACAGAGTTGTGCAAATCCTCCTAGGACTGACTGGCTGGACAGAATTACAAGTGCTTTGGCAGGTAAACCTGCTCATATAATATGTATATGTATATGTATATGTATATGTGTGTATGTATGTGTATGTATTTCTTCAGTATATTTAGCTTTTTGCCTAATGCTTTGGTTGTATTGTGTCATTTTTTCCCCCCTATGTTCATGTAAAGCTCTGTTCAAAGGGGGCGATCTGGCATTCCTGCAGGAGGAACCTATGGATTATTGCGGCAGGAATGCCAGGTGCCCCTGTTCAAATGTGGCTGCTTTGCCCATTGAAGTAAATGACAGGGTGACAGGGGCCGCCTCTGTCATTGGCAGTCTGCATGTAACAGAACATGGTATGATTACATGCGGTTTGGAATAGATGACTTTCACAGGACGCAGGATAGATCGACCGTTATCTATTCCAAACGGCATGTAATTGTACTATTACATAGGGACTGCGTCTAACAGATGTGCCTGCTGTCACCCTGTCATTGACTTCAATGGGTACCCTGGCCCCATCTGAGCGGGGACAACTGGCATCCCTGCCGCAATATTCCGTAGGTTCCTGCCGCAGAAATGCCAGCATGTCCCCCGTGAACGGGGCCTTAGTCTTTTATTTTACAAATGCACACGTTGTACAGGGTGCACCCACAATACTGGTGGTGTCACAGATGATAATACTAAAGAAGTAGTATGCCTTCCGATTCCCTCTCCCTAAACAAAATCCAAATTGCTTCATGTTCATTGAATTGCATTCATTTTGTGTCCTATTTCAGGATCAGTGCCACTATCGAGGGTATGCAGAAGGAGATCCGGAATCACGAGTGGCGATCAGCACCTGCTCAGGCCTCCGGTAAGTGTCGGCATTATTTTGTGTGGTTTCGACTAGCTAAAAAGCGTGCTGATGTAAATTTTGTTTTTTTAGCACCGTGGAAAAAAGATGTTCCTTAGAATTCATAGAGTGTCGTAGATCCTCTTTAGAAATCTGTCTTGCAGTAGTGTGGCAAATTGTGGAACTTGCAACAGATTCATGTACGTAGTCAGCAAGCAGGCAAAAGGTCGGTCCAGCTGGTAGGCAGGGATGTGGTCATTTGAACAGGCAAAGGGTCAGTTCAGGCGGCAGGCTGAGACATAGTCATTAACCCCTTCGTGACTGACGACTTACAGTGTACGTCGAGTAAGGAGTTGTACTAATATTGCGCAACATAAAAATTTGCAACTACCACCATTTTATTCTATAGGGTCTTGGCATTCAGAAAATATATAATGTTGGGGGATTTTAAGTCATTTTCAGGCCTAAAATGTGGAATATAACATGGGTGCAAAAAAATGAAAAAAGGGCCTCAGTCATGAAGGGGTTAATCAGGCAAATGGCCAGTTCATAGGGCAGACAGAGTCATGGCCATAGATCAGACAAAGGATCAGTTCAGGTAGTAGGCAAGGATGTGGTCATTAATCAAGCAAAGGGTCATGACGCTCAGGGGACAGGCAGAGATGTGGTGATTGATCAGGTAAAGGGTCATTTCAGGTGGCAGGAAGAGATTCAATCGTTACTTAGGCAAAGGGTCAGTTCAGGCAGCAGAAATAGACATGTTCATCGGTCAGAAAAAGGGTCAGTTCAGGCAGAGATGTGGTCATAGATCAGACAAAGGGCCGGTTCAGGCAGCAGATACATATTTATAGATCAGAAATGGGATCAGTTCAGGTGGCAGGCAGATATGTAGACATTAATTAGACAAGAGTCAGTTCAGGTGGCTGCCCGAGAATTGGTCATAGATCAGAAAATGGGTCAGTTCAGGTGGCAGGCAGAGACGTGGTCATTGATCAAAAAAAAGGGTCAGTTCAGGTGGCAGGCAGAGACATAGTCCTTAATTAGACAAAGGGTCATGTTGGGTGGAAAGCAGAAACAGGGTCATTGATCAGGTAAAGGGTCAGTTCAGGCAACAAGCAGACACATGGTTGTTAACCACTTAATGATCAGTTCAGGTGATAGGCAGAGATGTGGTCATTGGGCAAATGGTCAGTTCAAGCAGCAAGCAGGGACATGGTCATAAAACAGGCCAAGGGTCAGTTCAAGCAGCAAGCAGAGACATGGCCCTTAATCAGGCAAAGGATCAGTTCAAGCCGCAGGCAGAAATGTGGTCAAAACAGGCAAAGGGTGGGTACAAAGGAGATCAGATACAGGCAATATGGCAGCTAGTAGGGCACAAGAGAAAACTTATAACAAGCATGGGGCACAGGGTCACTGAGGCTTGTTCAGGCGTCTCCGCGAAGGAAGGACTAATCAGGAACAGAGGGGAAGCGGATGGTGTTACCTGGCAACCAGGATGCTAAGAAGCTGAATCCTGATATACCACCCACATGGAGGAGATTGTGGCCAATGAGATGCTGGGAGGAGGAGCCCGAGGTGCAGGTTTGTTGCTTGAGTAACAGGATCCTGGCCGCACGAGTCACTTGCAGTGCGCCGGGAGGTGGGCAGATCATCGTGGGCCATAGGATCCGAAGAAGCCATCAAGAAAAGGTCATGCTTTTTGGTGCCTGTAGATGTGCTTCCTGGGTAGAGTGTGGTTGCCCAGGGTGCTTCTGGGGGGTGAAGGGATGCAGACAACATTGCAGACATTTTGAATCTAAATGCTCATCTGGTGTTAAGATATCTTATATCTCTGATTGTGTCACAGGGGTCTGCTGCACCTGAAGAGTGGGAGTTATGGTATTGAACCCATGGAGTCCTCCTCCAAGTTTCATCACCTCATCTATCGTATGGAGAATGTGAAGACGGAGCCGATGGCATGCGGGGTCTCCAGTCCTGACATGGGGCAGGAGGGAGATCACCAGCACGCGCCAAGTATGACCCAACTTTTGAGGGTAAGTCTATGATAGGAACTATTTTTGAGATATTCATGAATTGGGATCTGTGTGCAGTTTGTTCTTCAAGTGATTCTTAAATGGTGTTTAAAAGGATCAGTGTATCCAACAAGGACATCCAATGAACCCTTTTACTTCCACTTCTATAACTGTTAGTTCCACTTTCCACCTTTCCAGTCTGCAGGAGCTGGACTTTTCAAAGGCCTTACATGGGCTTCCCAGTCATGTGATCACTGTTGGCTGTCACAGTGGTCATGTGATAGGGAACCCGCCCCACCCCGCCGGCTACCGACCAGAATCACTGACCTGAGAGTTGTCTGTTACGGTGCACTCACTGTGGTGATGGCACGCCCCAGCAGCTGCCGATCTTAAATGCTGACCGGTAGTTGTCTGCGACTACGTGGTCACTGTGCTGAGGGCACTAAGTGGGCACGCTCCCACAAACAAGGAACAATGGCTGTACGCATATATGTAGCAGCTCGGTGTTAAAGCCAGCCAACCTGCCGCCCCATATGCACATGGTCGACATTAAGGAATTAAAGGACTACGGCCACCCTGCACTGGGCGCGGAATTAGAGAAAACGATTACAGCCCCAATTCCCAAAAAGTTGGGACGCTGTGTAAAATCTTCTTAAAAACAGATTGCAATGATCTGCAAATCTCATAAACCCGAATTTTATTCACAATAGGAAATAGAAAACATATCAAATGTTAATTCTGAGAAAATGGACCATTTTAGGAAATCAGGTAAATTTCAAATTGATGGCAACAACACATCTCAAAAAAGTTGGGACAGGGCCATGTGTACCCCGAGTGTAGCACCCCCTCTTCTTTTAACAACACTCTGTAAATGTCTGGCAATTTAGGAGACCATTTGCTGGAGTTTTGGGAGAGGAATGTTGTCCCGTTCTTGCCTGATATAGGATTCTAACTGCTCAACAGTCCCGGGTCTTCTTTGCCTTTTTTTTAGTTTGAAGATGCGCCAAATATTTTCAATTGGTAAAAGGTCTGGACTGCGGGCCGGCCAGTTAAGCACCCGGACTCTTCTACTACGAAGCCATGCTGTCATCATAGATGTCGTATGCGGTTTAGCATTGTCCTGCTGAGATATGCAAGGCCTTCCCTGAAAAAGACATCATCTGGATGGGGGCATAGGCTGCTCTAAAATCTGGATATATCTTTCAGCATTGATGTTCCCTTTCCAGATGTGCAAGCTGTCCATTTCATACACACTAATGCACCCCAATACCATCAGAGATGTAAGCTTTTGAACTAATTATAATAATAATAATAATACAGGATTTATATAGCGCCAATAGTTTGCACAGCGCTTTACAATATAAGGAAGACATTACAGTCACAATACAATTCAAGACAAGATGGTAAGGAGGGCCCTGCCCATGAGAGCTTACTTGCTGATAACAAACCGGAAGGTCCTTCTACTCTTTAGTCCGGAGGACGCGGCGCCTGTGGTTGCCAAAAATAATGTTACATTTCGATTCGTCTGACCACAGAACAGTTTTCCACTTTGCGACCAACTATTTAAAATGATCTTTGGCCCAGAGAGGACGGCGGCGTTTCTGGGTCGTGTTCAGATATGTCGTCTTCTGTGCATTCTAAAGCTTTAACTTGCATTTTTGGATGGCACGGCGAGCTGTGTTCACAGATAGCGATTTTTGGAAGTATTCCTGAGCCCATGCAGTGATGTCCATCACAGATTCATGCCTGTTTTTAATGCCGTGCCTTCTGAAGGCCCGAAGATCACGGCATCCATATTGTGTTTCGGCCTTGTCTACTGCGCACAGAGATTTCTCCTGATTCTCAGAATCTTTTGATGATAATATGTACTGTAGATGATGATATATGTAATGTCTTTGCAATTTTACGTTGAGGAACATTATTCTGAAATTCTTCGACAATTTTCCACAGATTGGTGAACCTCGTCCCGTCTTTACTTCTGAGACACTCTGACTCTCTAAGATGCTCTTTTTATATCCAATCATGTGACTGACTTGTTGCCAATTGACCTAATTTAGCTGCAAAATGTTCTTCCAGCTCTTCCTTGTTAATACTAATTACTTTGCCAGATTTGTGTTGCTCTGTTCCAACTTTTTTGAGACGTTTTGCTGCCAACAATTTCCAAATTACATTATTTTTTCTTAACCCCTTAGTGACCGAGGCCTTTTTTTATTTTTATTTTTTGTACCCATGTTATAATCCACATGTTAGGCCTGCAAATTACTTCAAACCCCCCAAACGAAAGCCGAGACCCTGTAGAATAAAATGGTGGCAGTTTGAAATTTTTGTGTTGCACGATATTATCAAACCCCAAAATTTAGTGAATAATGCCCTTAAATGTGCTAAAAGCCCCCACAGGTCATCAGTTTAGAGACACTAGAATTATTGCTCTCACTCCGGCATGCGCGATGATACCCAACATGTGTAGCGCGATCGCCGTTTTCATACGCAGGCGCGTGTGCTCGCGGGGGACTTTAAAAAACTTTTTTATTATTTTTACATTTATTTAATTTAATACTTTTAAAAACTTTCGTTGCTATCACATAGGGGGGCTTACAAGCCCCCCAAGTGATAGCAGATTGGCAGTGACAGGTCCTCCTTAAGGTGATGCTTCGGGTCCAGCAGAAAACACGGCGAGGGGGATCCGTTTATCGGCCCAGAGAAGCTGTGGGGCGACAGCCGAGTCGCCAGATCGTTTCTATTGTAAAGCAAACAGTCGGCTTTACAGTTGTAAACAGAGTCCTGGCGTCTTTAGCTACCGTACTATGGATGTCACTGGTTACTGAGGGGTTAAAGGAGAACTATGGGGTTAAGGCTTTTCCCCATAGTTCTCCTTAGGGTAACGGGAGGACACAAACTAGCGTCCTCCTGTCACCCTAGGCTCAGTATACCGCGAGCTGTAGCTCTCGGTATACTGAGACTCCGCAGCTGAAGCGGATCCCGACAATTATGTCTGGATCCGCCCAGCTGCGTGACTGACAGCTGGCTCTGCCTATCTAGAGGCAGAGCCAGCTGTACCCGCCCCCTCCCCCGTCCATTCCGCCAGTCAGCGCTGGTGGGGAGGGGGGAATCCAGCCCCTCCCCTGTCACGGCAGAGAGCCGTGACAGGATCGAGAGGTGAGCAAATGCCGGTATGTGTTCGCTCACTTCCCGATCTACTGAGCCGACCTGTGACAGTCTCATTGTCACAGGTCGGCTAGAACTATGAGGTGAGTGAAAAGCACTCACCTCATAGTTCTCCTTTTAAAACGGTCCATTTTCTCAGTTTAAACATTTGATATGTTTTCTATTGTGACTAAAATCTGCGTTTTATGAGATTTGCAGATCATTGCACTCTGTTTATGTAGATTTTACACAGCGTCCCAACTTTTTTGGGGGGAATTGGGGTTGTAGTCTATTGGCCAGCTTTACTGCAATATATGAAGAATGAACTGCCTGTGCTGCTCCATAGCCGTGTGCCCCACAGGCCGTCTGTATCCTCACAGCAGGCGGTACACACCAGTATCCTACATCCGGACACAAGATTGGAAGTTGTTTGTGTCGGGGGTTTGTGTTACTCGTTTCTTTATTTTTAAATTGCATTGATCAAAGTTTCTTCAAGAACACAACGTCAGACAGAAGAAAGAACATTGCCTTGCCAGGAAGTGGAGATTATGCTGTAATGGCTTTCTCTATGAATTTTATTGCTTTGATGTTATCAATTATTCATCGTCATTATTTGACGAGCAATCTGCTGAATGCAGATACTAAATTGCTGTGCGATAAATGGTAAATGTCCGCTGGGAATGATTCCGTGTAGACAGCACAGATCCTTACTGCAGATAAACCCCTATAGATACATCGATTATTTATTACAGGTATTTATAGAACGCTGTCATTCATTTTGCGTAATTAACATTCACTTCGGCCCCCGCCGTCCAGGAGCTTACAATCTAAATTCCCTGTCCCACTTACAATGCCTTGCGAAAGTATTCACCCCCCTTTGTATGTGAATGAGTGTGCAGCGCTCAGAGTCATTAATAGGTGAACTATCAAATGTTGAATACGTGTCATCACGTACACGTATTCAACATTTGATAGTTCACCTATTGGTGACCCTGAGCGCTGCACACAGCGCAGATTTTACGTATTTCATTCACCCCCTTTGCCAAAAGTTTGAGAGCTACACCATCTGGCCTTATATGAATGTGTAAATATTAAGGAAATGAAGTGGCATGCACCTCCTGAGGCTTAAAGGAGAACTATGAGGTGAGTGAAAATCACTCATCCTCATAGTCTGAGCCGACTTGTGACAATGAAACCGTCACACGTCGGCTCTATAGATCGGAAAGTGAGCGAACACATACCGGCGCTCGCTGACTTCTCGATCATCTCCCTGGGGTAATAATCGAGGATTCCCCCCCTCCACCGCTCCATTCCTCCAGCGCTGACTGGCAGAATGGACGGGGGAGGGCACAGCTGGCTCTGCCTCTAGATAGGCAGAGCCCGCTGTCACTCACGCAGCTGGGTGGATCTTGACAGCATTGTCGGGATCCGTCCCGGCTGCGGCGGTCTTAGTATACCGTGAGCTGCAGCTCGCGATATACCGAGTTTTGGGTCACGGGAGGACGCTAGTTTATGTCCTCCTGTGACCCTTAAGAGGACTATGGGAAAAAAACACTGACCCCATAGTTCTCTTTTAAATGCATAGTCCACCTTAAAAACAAAAATAATAATAAAATGTTCATTTCTTAATTTGTTTGCATTTGCACCTGATTTTGGTTGCAATGCACAAACTCCTGCAGACTTTTCCTCCAGTACCAGGTCCGTACCGAGGTATAGAACTTAAGTCATGGGATGGTAATCCAATGGCTTCTCTACTTCGAGCCCCATATCTGAAGATGAGAATGGTGGTGACCATGAGTTCTGACATCACTATCCATATGCTTGCTCTGGGTCAGTGGCTTAAAATATTTAAAGGCCATCTCAAGGCAAACAAAAAAGTACCCTTGCGGTGGGGCTAAACCCTCACTGCAAGTGTTAGGCGTTCTTTTTTGTCCAGGGTACTGAAGTAAAATAGATTTACTTACCTGATCCTCAATTCTGCCGCCTCCCTAGGGACCACTAGACTAGACCGGTCCCCACAGCGTCTTCTGCCCTGAGCTTCAGCGATCTTAAGATCACGGACGTCATGAAGCCTAATGCAGGCTCCATAGATCTGCATTAGACAAGAGTGAGGGACATTCTGGAGCAGAGGAGGAGAGCGCCAACCACCGATCAGTGGATCAGAGAAGGAAATCTGTTTTACTCTGGTCCCCTAGACAAAGACAAGCATTTAAACCTTGCAGTCCGGGGGTAGCCCCACTCCAAGGGTACTTTTTGTGTTTGCCCACAGATGGGCTGTAAGCCAGAGGATTGTTCAGATAGTGACCAGCAATGGCTACCTATATATTTTGTGTCAGGATTCCTTTTCATGATGGAAGTGAGATAAGTTGACTTTCATTGTATTGATTGTGTTTTATATTCTTACGTTTAGAGGAAGAGAGCGATCCTGCCCCAGACGAGATATGTGGAGCTCTTCTTGGTGGTGGACAAGGAAAGGGTAAGCTATGGCTTTGATTCGTACTGGTTTCATGCGTCTACCAATATTTTGTGTTTTCAAAGGGATGTTTTTGTGTGTGTGTGTCCCCAAATACAATCTCTTTTCAGCTGTAATTTTGCATTGCTTTGAACAGAATTGGAGAAATCTAATTGGGTAGCAATTCCAATCCCATTATGCTGCATGGCATCCATCAGTACATTCAGTACATTCAGTGCTTCTTTATTTAAAGTGGACCTGAACTGGAAGCATGTAAATTTGCTCTGTTATTGAGAACATTTAGAAATCTCGAATTGTGCCTAAGAATTAACTTGAAAAATGTATGTTTTGTCTGGAATTACTCCTAAGTGCACTTCCTAGTATGGAGGGTGCCTGGGCCCTCCTGTGCCTATAGCTTCATAGCTCTATATCTGCAGTGTGCTGCAGGCTCCGGAGATTTAGGCCCCATGCACACTGCTAAGACTTGGCCCGTACAGATCCGCGTTGCGTGCACGGCCGCTCCCGGGAAGGACAGGTGCTGCGTGTGATTGTACGCAGCAGCCTGTTCTGGTCTATGGGAGTAAGCCGCCTTACGCTCGCCCGAACTGCACATCCGTGCGGGTGTCCGTGCTCAGACGCAGACAGGATCCATCCTGCCTGGGTACGAGTATGGACATCCGTACGGATGTGCAGCTCGGGTGAGCGTACGGCGGCGTACTCCCATAGACCAGAACAGGCTGCTGCGTACAATCACACGCAGCACTTGTCCTTCGCGGGAGCGGCCGTGCACGCAATTTTTTTTATTTTAAAACCATAGAAGTAAAAATCTCTTGCAAATCCACCCTTTGACCTGATTCCAGCAAATTACACATCTCAGGAGCCCAGATAACAATGTTCAGACTGTCTGTGTGTTGGAGGCATACACTGTGCTTGAAAGTGCTTTATTCTTTAAGAGGAGATGAACCCCGGAGGTTGTGCAAAAAAAAACGCAGAGGGGAAAAGGACTAGTTATCGGTATTAACCATAGGTGTTCCCTATTACCGACTCACCGTAACTGGTTCTGTCTCTACGTGGAGGTGAGAGACAGAGGTAGATTTGGGCTTTGCTTCCTCATGTCAGATGGCTGATGATATGATGACTGGGGGAGGGGTATTGGAGAAGAAGCAGGAGAGAGGTGGATGAAGTACAGATCCAATGAATGAATCAGAAGCAGGGAGATTCTGGCACGGCAGGTCCTCAGGTACGGCTTCCTCTCCAGCAAGAACAATGATCAGCACAGTAATGACATCACCAAATATCACCAACAGTCAGGGGCGGTGGCACCTTCGATCAAGGGTAGCCAAACTCCGGCCCTCCATCTGTGGTGAAACTACAAATCCCATGATGCATCTCTCTCCGGGAGTCGTGGCCGTGAGAATCTTGCAATGCCTCATGGGATTTGTAGTTCCACCACAGCTGGAGGGCCTGAGTTTGGCAACCCCTGACTTTGATGATCTCACATTGTAGATATAGATCTAAGAAGCTACAGAACAGGATCCTAGGAAAAAAATATATGCTATTAATGTTGCATTTCTAGAGACCACTGGAGGGAATGAGCATACACAGTAAATGTAACCATTGATACTTCAGGGATAGCAGTGGTTACATTTTATATTTTCATTCTCTGCAGTGTTCTATAGTACTGTATCTTAATACCAACATGTAGTTATATCTTATGATCCTCAGCTCCATCTAGTGTCCATAATGTGGTATTTTCCCCATTCACTCTGTTCTGTATGAACCTATTAAAGAACATTCGACCAGAAGGGAAATTGCTAAGCTAGGTAAAACCCCATTAACCATTAAGACTGAATGGCAAACCCTAATGCCAATCATGTTCATGGAGGAGTGGGATGATACATGCTCCTCTCACAGGTTGGTTTCACCTGCAGCTAACAATAAGTTGATTCAATAGTATATTAATCATCAAACTTCTATATCCCCAGTTCATTTGTATAAAATGGCGGCATGGTCACCCCTATTCACACACAACGCAATCAACCTGAGGATGTCTGGTCACCTCTGAATTTTGGAAACAGGAAACCCTTGTGCTGTGTACTACTATACTGCAACTTCCTATTCCCTGTGCTCCTGACATTTATCTGTTTTGCATATTAAACAAACAAACGTGAAGACAGGGGACTTAAAAAAAATGTTTGGTGTTTCATTTTTTTAACATTTTTTTCCCCACTTGTTTTTATTGCTATCACATAGGAGGCTAACAAACGCCCCTATGTGATAGCACAGATACAGTCACAGGTCCTCTTTATGGAGACATCTGAGGTCTATTAGATCCCTAATGTCACCTAGAGAAATGACACGTTGGAATTATGTAATGCATGTTGATTCTGCATTCAGTGATCATAGGGAAATCAGCACACATTCACCAGCTGATCTCAATGTAGAGACCTGCCGTGCCAGTTCTGGGCACGCATGGAGGACAGTGTGGCCCAGGATAGCCGTTGGCGGAGGGGCTCGTACACTGCCATGCAGCATACAAGCGGTCAGACGGTATAGCCGCCGTCGCTGGCTTTTTAAATTTTTTCGTGTGCAAAAAAAAAAAGAGCTAAATGTACAGCGACCCGCTGACTAAATAGTGTTGCCTGCATTTTTATATAGAAGAGGTGGAGAGCAAGAAGTTATATATATTATTCAATAGCCAAAAAAGAATAAAAATATACATTTTTGTGCACCCAAAGCTTTTTGAAACCCAGATATAACTATTACAATAGTGGTGACGTCATCGCTGTGCTGCATATCGTCTGTGCAAAGAGCAGAGGAAGGGGCGGAGACAAGACCAGTCACCCTGTACAAGGAAAGAGAGCAGCAGTGACCGGTCTTTATTACAGGAGGGGGCAGAGACGACATCAGTCACTCTGCACCAAGTGAGAGAGCAGCAGTGAGCGTCCTTTATTACAGGAGGGGGCGGAGACGAGACCAGTCACCCTGCACAAAGAGAGAGCAGCAGTGTCCGGTCTTTATTACAGGAAGCTCCTGCACAGAGCAGATAGATAAAAAGCCGCTTCTGACTGGTCGCTGAAGGCAGCGGCAGTACCATTAATATAGGTATAATATTAATATCAAGTCTTTTTTTGTGGTTGTGCACAGGAACGATATGATATGCATGTCATTAATGGTTAATAATTATTGTTGTAACTCAGTGTTCTTGTATCTGAACTCTAATATGATGTCATCTTCTGCACATCTGTTATTGTCTCATTACCAAGAATTCCCCTGAACATTTCCACCCATAATCAGGACCTCCGCCCGCACACTCCTCACCCGTAGATCTGCGCACACTGCGTCCGAGCTGACTGTCCTCATACTGCCGCGGCGATCAGTTTATACTTCCACTTCCAGCTATGTAATTAGCCAATACTCCCTCCCGCACCTCCACGTCCCCCTTTCACGGGCCCCATCACAAAAATGTGCGCTGTTCCTTTTTAGACAATACACATGGCAATGTGCTTCCATCTGAATATATTCTGTGTTCCTTTACTCCTCTTCTTTGAAGTTATCTGTTATATGCGTTATAAGCTCCAGAGCAGCCGTTTTTCACCTTTATACCCCAGGGGAACCCTTGAAATACTGTTGAGATCTTAGGGAGCCCCTGCTCACAAAATGATTGCATCTACAGGTTATGGGACATTAGCATAATAAGTAATATTGGCCATGTACGGATCACCCATTTCCTGATAAATCGGCCGAAATTCGCAGAAGTTATTAAATGGAATGAATAAGAACAGCCCGAAAAAAAACAGAGCACACACTGCGAAAATTGTAGCGTCTCCTTACTCTAGTTGTCGATGGAAAAATGTAATTCATATTGGTGGTCAGTGGAGAAAAGCCTATTTACTGTGTCGATCAGTGTAGAAGTGACCCCTTACATTGGTGATCAGTGTAGAAGTGACCCCTTACATTGGTGATCAGTGTAGAGGTGACCCCTTACATTGTTGATCAGTGTAGAGGTGACCCCTTACATTGGCGGCCGGCGTAGAAGTGACCCCCTGACACTGGCGGCCGGCGTAGAAGTGACCCCCTGACACTGGCAGCCGACTAAAAGCCCTTTTAAGCTGGTTAGACTTTGAACACCTTTCGCATTGAAGCACATGGAATGGATTTGGTTGATATAAACTGAAAGTTCAATTGAGCTTTGATTGATTGCAACCTATGTATGTAACTGATGTGTTTCTTTTGCAGTACGACTTGCTGGGACAAAACGCTTCAGCAGTCAGGGCTGAAATGGTGCAGTTGGCCAACTACCTTGACAGCGTAAGTAGGACAGTTTATAAAGACTTTTATATTCTTTTCTACCGAGGCCACATTTAAAATCCTTGTTTCCATGTATGAATGGTAATTATGTATGTACATGGGGGCAGCCATCTTTATGCAGTACATACACAATTGGTCTTTCCTGCTTTTCTGCACTACACAATGGTTGCGCTTTGCTGCTCTTCCTCACAGTTCAAGCCCATGAGTCGTCCAACCTATTTAAAACAATTCTCTCCCTGTGTGGTTAGTTGTGAACAAGACAGAAGTCCCATTCCTTCCCAAATCTATCCAACGCTAAATTGTAGGGATGCACCGATGCTAATATCGGTATTGGTTCCGATACAAAGTATTTAGGCGACTACACGTACTCGCCCAAATTCTCCAATACCTTCACCGATGCCGGAACTTCCGGTCAAAGGAAGATTTCCTCTGACTGGCAGTGACGCAGGGGAACATGGAGGCAGCTTCCCGTGCAATAAGGAAGCTGGGCAGCGAGCAATGACCCGTCTCCCTGATTGGCCAGGAAGCCGGCTCCATGCTGATTGGCCAGGAACTGGGAGGCAGGCCATTACTCGCTGCCCAGCTTCCTAATTTAACAGGAAGCTGGCTCGATGCTGATTGGCTGGGAAGCCGGTTTCCCGGCCAAGCACGATCAAGCCGGACAGACAACATGGAGCCAGCTTCTTGAGTAATCAGAATGCCTGGGAAGCCGGCTCCATGCCAGCAGAAGCACCGGTTTCGGTGCTCGGTATCGATGGGTACAGAAAGCAAAGTATCGGTACTCGATACCGGAAAAACGGTATCGGTGCATCCCTACTAAATAGGTGTTGGATGATCTTACACTGTAACAGAAGAGCTAAATCGGTGGCAGAAGTCATTTGCAGTCAAGGTGCCTGATCTGCTGAATCCTCAGCCCTGACGTGTCCATGGCCAAGGTCTCTCTGATGTTCTGTAGATGTACAGCATGCAGAATATCAGCATTGTCCTGATTGGCTTAGACATCTGGTTGAGGAGGAAGCACTGATCTGGCTTCTAGCATTTACTTAGTTTACTAAAAAGTGTCTGACTGTCTGTGTAGTTGCTGTAAAAACGTTGTCATCATGAGAGGAAGTGAGGGGGAATATCCTCTAATGGAGCCCCAGATAGCATTATAAAGAGACAGAAGCCCCATTCCTTCCCAAATCTGTTAAAAGCTAAATAAAAGTTGTGGCTGGACTTCCACTTCAAGAGAAAAGCTAAGTCAGTGGCAGAAGTCATTTGTAGTCAAGGTGCCTGATCTGCTGAATCCTCAGCCCTGACGTGTCCATGGCCAAGGTCTCTCTGATGTTCTGTAGATGTACAGCATGCAGAATATCAGCATTGTGTCTTGTCCCTCCTGGGTTGATGACCAAGGTCTCTCCACTGTCCTTTAGATGTACAGCATGCTGAACATCAGAATTGTTCTGGTCGGGTTGGACATCTGGATGCATGTGAATCACATCAGTATCGACGGCTCGGCCGGAGACGTCTTGGGGCGTTTTGTGCAGTGGCGCGAGAAGGAGCTCGTTCCCCTCCGCAGACACGACAGCGCTCAGTTTATTCTGTAAGTAAGATTTGTGTTTCTAGATCAGAAAATTGGAAGGGTTTTGCTTTTTTAATGAAATAGAATTTATTTGGGCACAAGAAGGTGTTATTAGGGGGCAAAAAAATAGTGGACAGCAATGAAATAAAAATGTCTAACCTGAACTCCAGCTTCTAATGACATGCTGTGACGCTCTTTAATAAACATATCAAAGAGATATTGATATCTGAACGTATCTTTGTGTGTGCCAGTGACCTGCTGAGATTAACCTTAACTCCAGGTGACCAGCTAAAATCCATATATAGAAGAGTTTTTACCTGCCAAGGGGGTCAACATGATAAAACTGGTGGTATGAGTGACATACCTCTTTTTAATCTCAGCAGGTGACACGATTATTTCTGGGTTACCAAAGTAGTTTTCCATGTAATGGACACAAATAGAAATGCTCAAATTTACCCTGTCCAACCATTATGGGACCTGCCAAAATGTGAATGTTCTTCGTTGCCGATAAAAGAGTTAGGGGTTCAGTTAGGTGCTACAAACATTGACACAGCTTGACAGGGCCAGCACACAAGTGCATGCATTACAGCCCCAAAGAAAGCTGCCTATAAGGAGTGAGCTCAATGGAATTGAAGGAAGACTTAGGGGGTTATTCACGAAGGAGCCGAAGGATCCAGCCGGAGCTTTGGCTGATCCTTCGGCTCTCTTCAGCCATCAGAGCCCTTCGTTTCAGTCGAACCGAATGGCTGCTGTACGGGCTATTCACTATTGTCCGTACAGCGGCTTAGCAGCTGAGCTGACAGAAAGACATATGCTTTGGCTCGACTGAGCCGAAGTGACGCCTGAAGCGGGGCGAGCGGCATGCCGAAGGCTGACCTTTCGCCCCGGAAATGACAGCCAGTTGTAATGACAGATCAGCATCCCCAAATGACCAACTGTCATTAAACAATAATGCTAGACTCTAGGTGCCAGCCAATAGGAAACAGTTGGGCAGAGCTAGCTGTCACTGCTAGCTCCGCCGAATTGTTTTTAAAAAAAATCTTTATTCATTTTTAAATTGTACTATTTATTGACATTTTTGAAACGGTTTTCAACCTTTTTTTTTTCCCCGACTATTTTCATTGATTTTCTATTCTGCTCGGTACCACTGAGGTACTGAGCAGAATAGCCGAGCCAAATGCCGTTCAGCGGGATTCGGCTATTCACTCACTGCCAATCAGCCCCTATGAGAATATATGTGAATAGGGGCGAACAGCAGCGAGTGAGCTGCCGTAGCTTCGGCTCAGCCGATCCAGATGTTGGATCGTCTGAGTTGAAGTCCTTCTGCACTTCGGCTCAGCCATGTTCAGCTGACCGAAGTGCAGCCGATGTATGGCTGAAATCAGCCGTACTGAGCCAGAGTGAATAGCCAAACGTTGTTCGGCTCACTTCACTTTGGCTGCCTTTTGGCAGCTTTGTGAATAACCCCCTTAAGGTATATCTAAAGCCAAATTGTACTTTCCCGTTCATTGAGGGACACAGGAAGACTGTAACCTATAGCTCAGTGGTTATCAACCTGTGTAACCTCAGGACCCACATTTGTCCTTGGTCATTAAGTTGCAACCCAAGTCGTGCTGCAATGGAACGCCGCTGCATTGCGATACCGTGCATTCCGGTGATTGAACTGTGGGAAGGAGGTGCTTTTGGGGTGTCATTCAACTGAATGACAACGCAACCCACCTCCCACACCAGAGTGCGTAGTAGGTGTGATTGCATGGTGCAGTGCATTCATCACACAGGACTGTGTGAATAGCGAACTGTACTAGTGTAAGCGGGCCCTCAAAAACACTGACAGACACAATCTCACAAACACATATACACTCCAAAAAAGATTTCCACAAAAAAAAAAACTGGAAACAAAACCATCTTTGGAAATTATTTTGAAAACAGCGCCATCTACAGGTCCTTTTAATGAATCTAGAATTGAAGCACCACACCGTAAAATTCAAGTTTTTCTATATAGTCAACTGTAAGCCCTCAGGGGCAGGGCCCTCCTTACCATCTTGTACTCATTTTCATGACCATCATTTTTATTATAAATACTATTTTCCATTTAATGTTTTCACACTTTTTTGTTTATGTTCTTACTGGAATTTTATCTTGTGCTCTAGCTTTCTGAATGAGTCTTTACAATAATGTATATGAAGGAACTTTTTTTTTTTTTTTTTTACATGTTTATTTTTTACATGTTTTGTTGTAGGAAGAAGGGATTCGGAGGCACTGCTGGCATGGCCTTTGTTGGCACCGTGTGTTCCAGGAGCCACGCCGGTGGCATTAACGTGGTATGTCCTATGTGTTTTAGTCATGTGTTTGGTTGTTGAAGTAAATTACTATAGAGATTGGTATGAACTGTGGGCAGGCTTTGGACAATAAAGTATGAACATATTCTTTGTAAAAAATCTGACCTCTGGCCTTCCCTTCGGTATTGCACAGTTGTTCCGGCTCCTCTCCTGTACTGAAATGACTTACTCTGATGGCACTGCACACTGCGAGTTTCTCACAATGTGCATTAGAAGCTGCAAGTCAGACAGAGCCCGCCTCATTTCCTGGCTGGAGAACGTCCAGCTTTATGTTGGTCATTCCTCCCCAGCCTGACCCCGCCCCTTTCATCCATTGCATTTCAGTTATTTTAGTCATGGGGGCTCATTATCAAAAATGGGTGTTACCTAGGGCAGACCATATGCAAATGAAGCCTGCCTAGTAACATCCATTCCTCCGAGGCCTCCCAAGAGCCATCCCGAAGTGAGGAGATTGATGATGATTGAAGTCATTCAGACAGGAAATGAAGGCGGGCTCAAGCGGGTTATATTGCGTAGATGCAAGTTTACAGGAAGTTGACTTCAGCACAGAAGGGGGCTTGGTACAAGTGTGGGGGAACAAAGGTAAAGATGGGGTTCCGCTTTAATATTCATAATATTGTAGAATATTGATCTAGGAAGTTGCCTATTAGTTGTCTTTTTTTTGTGTTATGTGACCTGCAATTTGACAATTTTATTCTGATGGTGAAGAATAGTTTGCGTAGTTTGATGATTTTTTTGCCCTTTTGTATTCTTTCTTTCAGTTTCCAAATCAGAATGTACAATCTTTTTCTTCTATCGTTGCTCATGAACTGGGACACAACCTGGGAATGAATCATGATGATGGTCGAGGCTGTTACTGTCCTGTAGGGGCTTGTATCATGAACTCCGGGGCCACGTAAGGGTTCACTTTTTCTATGGTTTCCTGTTAGAGCTTCGCTCCCTGCTGCATGTAATATTACATTAAAGTGGCACTAAACTCCGGAGTTAAATCTTAAAACTCCATCCAGGTACCTGAACTCTGAACAACAATGTCTCTTATTTGTGTATCACTCGGCTGTAGATCCTCCAATCATCTCTGAGTTGGTGCCGACACTGTCCTTCCTTCTGGTGGGGGGCTACTTGTGTTCCCCATGGTCCCTGTGTGTGTTGTAAAGTAGTCACCGCTCCAAGATATTTTTAGGATTGAACTCCTGAGTTTAGTGTCACCTTAAAAACTGAACTCCAGGCAAACAGCTACCAGTATATAGTAAAGTTGGGGACCTCACTGTTGTTCAGTTAGGAAAGGTCACCTCCCCACGACTAGCCTGTGACTGGGCAGCGAAGGAGCAGCAGAACACTGATGAGGTCATCTGTCTTTTCCTCAGCATGTTCTTTGTCAAAAATTGTGCAACAAACCCTGATAAACTCAAATTCCCTCTCCCAGACTGATTTCCTTCAGCACATGGCGCTACAAGAAGCTGACATTAAGACATACGTTGCATTTAAAAATGTATTCAAAGTTGAACTCTGCAATAAACAAAGCGAACAAAAACATCTTAATACAGGAGTTTTGTGCATTCTTCCTTGAATCTCGGGGGGCTTTGATCATGTCTTCCAGATCTGTGCAGTAGTCCAGTGTGAAACTTGGAGCTTCCTGTAATAAAGACCGATCACTGCTGCCCTCTCTCCTTGTGCAGGGTGACTGGTCTTGTCTCCGCCCCCTCCTGTAATAAAGACCGGTCGCTGCTGCTCTCTCTCCTTGTGCAGGGTGACTGGTCTTGTCTCCACCCCCTCCTGTAATAAAGACCGATCACTGCTGCCCTCTCTCCTTGTGCAGGGTGACCTCTTGTCTCTGCCCTTCCTGTAATAAAGACCAGTCACTGCTGTTCTCCCTCCTTGTGTAGGGTGACTGGTCTTGTCTTCACCCCCTCCTGTAGTTTTCTGCAGGCAGCCTGTAGTGGGTGGGGTCTGCTGGGTCCCTCCCACAGCTCTGCTCTCTGCACAGGCTTGGTACACCACAGTGATGATATCATGGGCTGCTTTTACAAGGGGGTTTTAAGGCTTGGTGCACACAAAGTGGGGTCAAATCATTGAGGAATATATTTGAATGAAAGTTTTTGTGCTCGGAGTTCAGCTTTAATGATTTGGAATCAATGCAGAACTGCATGAAATGGTGTTTTATATACCTACCAGGAGTTCAGCTTACGTGGATTATCCTATCCTAACTGCAGCAGCCTCCAATAGCCCTCTGTTATGGCCCAACCACCATTCCACTATGCCACTACCTCCACAAATACCTACCGGCCCATCACCATGATGGGCTGACTCATTGGGAAGTGGGCATGGTCAGGTAAGGGTGGGAACAAGCTTTGGCACTAACAGGAAGAGACCAAGCTCTGCATATCAGAAGAGTCCGGGGGATTCAGTAGTAATGGAATGCTTTAAATCGTGTCTTGTCCTGTTCTGGGCTGTTATAAAGTCCGGGCGGTATTGTAGTGAGTTTTTCTTCACGTTCCTTGAACATTCCTGGTTCTGCAGGGGCTCTAAGAATTTCAGCAGCTGCAGCGAAGACGATTTTGAGAAGTTGTCACTGAACAAAGGTGGAGGCTGCCTCTTGAATGTGCCCAGCCCAGACGAGTCTTACAGCGCCCCCTTCTGCGGGAACAAGCTGGTGGACCCGGGAGAGGAGTGCGACTGTGGGAATGAAAAGGTCAGACAATTTAATAGTGGAACCTTTTTTATGAATGATAGATGACCCATATATTAAATCGATCAATCATCGATATAACTGTTATTAATGTTTTTTCAGGAATGTGAGAAGGATCCATGTTGCCAGCCCAGGACCTGCAAGCTGCGCTCAGGAGCTCAGTGCGCCTACGGATCCTGCTGCCAAAACTGCCGGGTTAGTGCTAAAAGCTGCACATATCTTGCTGTATATGCTTGTGTGGGTAAAGCTCTATGAAAGATCCCGGTCAAGCCCCGTCCACTGCTCCGCTCTGCTGACAGTAGCTTGACCAGTCCCCACAGCCTCTTCTCCCCCTGGCTCCAGCAGTCTAAGCCCAGCTGACCTCATTATGTCTAATGCAGGTCCATTCACCTGCATTAGACGTGAGGACGCCGAAGGATATAATACCAGGGCCAGAACAGAGGGGTAGAGAAGTGAGCGCTCACTGCCGCGGGACCGAGGATTAAGGTGAGCATATCATCTTTATTCCTGTCCCGGTCGAGCCCCGTCCACTGTTCTGCTTAGCTTACAATAGCTAGACTGGTCCCCGCTGCATCTTTTCCCCCAGGCTCTGGTCGTCTAAGCCCAGCTGACGTCATCATGTCTAATGCAGGTCCATTCACCTACGTTAGACGTGAGTATGCCAAAGAACATACCACAGCCAGAATGGAAGTGGAAAGAGGCGAGTGCTCACTGCCGCAGGACCAAGGATCAGGTGAACATATCGTCTTTATTCCTGTCCCGTTCGAGTCCCATCCATTGCTCCGTTTAGCTGACAATAGCTAGACTGGTCCCCGCTGCATCTTTTCCCCCAGGCTCCGGTCAACTAAGCCTAGCTGATGTCATCTCGTCCATTGACCTGCATTTGACGTAAAGACGCCGTGTGACTTACCACAGCTGGAGCGGAGGGAGAAAGAGGTGAGTGCTTGCTGCCACAGGACCGAGGGCCATGTGGGCATATCTTCTTTATTTCAGTCCCAGTCGAGCCCCATCCACTGCTCTGCTCAGATGGCAAAATGTAGACCGGTACCCGCAACCTCTTCTCCCTCGGGCTCTAGCGGTCTACGCCCTGCTGACTTCCATCATGTCTAATGCAGGTCCATTCACCTGCACAGTGGCGTCACAAGGGTGACACCATTGGAGGGGTCACAGCAAAATGACTGACAGTCATTTTGGTGTCCCCCCTCTAAAAAGTCGGGCACTCGGTCATGGACCGAGAGCCCGACAGTGTCAGGAGGGGACCTGGCGGCATACCTCATCCCGACGGGTGCACTTCCCCTCCTCTCTCTGCCAGCGTCCATCACTAAAATGGCCGCCAGCAGGCGTCATTTAGATGGCCGCGCATGCGTGATGACGTCACGTGCATGAGCGATGATGTCGCAGCGGGTGACACCCGGCCTCGGGACGAACCTGCACTAGACATGAGGATGCCGAGGGACATATCACAGCTGGAACGGAGGAGGCAAGTGGTGAGTGCTTACTCCTGCAGGACCGAGGATCAGGTGAGCATATCTTCTTTTTTCCAGTCCCTAGACCACAACGAGTGAGTAGCCCCACTGCAAGGGTTCATTTTGGCATTAGCCGTTCCTCTTTAAGACACATTAAAGTTCACGCGGGTTACATTGCTCTCGTCTTCATTATGCCTTTTATTTATTTTTACTGTTTTTTTTAGTCCTTTATCTGAGCCGATCATTGTTTTTATGTGCTAACTTTACAGTTCGCTCCCGGTGGTACCGTGTGCCGTGGCGTGGCCAATGAATGCGACCTTCCGGAATACTGCAACGGCTCTTCTCCGCACTGCCAGCCTGATGTATTCATTCAGAACGGGAACTTGTGCCAAAACGGCCAGGCCTACTGCTACAACGGCATATGCCAGTACTCCGAAGCCCAGTGTCAAGGAATTTTTGGACTCAGTAAGACAACCGACTTGCCAGACATTAGAACCCATACACAGTGCTACCACTAGTTTGTGCCCTTGTGCCAGTCTGTACATACATTTTAGGGTTATGGGGGTATAGAATGGTTGTAGACACAGATGGTGCCAGTAAACTTTAGGTTTTGGTGTACATGGGCACTGCTCAGTAAAGTTTTGCTCAGAAAGAATGCAGATTGCCACTGCAGTCCACGTTCCTTCATTTTAGAGATTCCCTAGACCGGCCTTTCTCTACATGTCTTTCAAAGAGGAAATAACTTTCCGGTCTCAGGGAATCCCTGCTAATAAATACTATACAATATCTACTGCTCACAGTGCATGAGCTGTACTTGAAATATAAAAATAAATAAAAGAATAGGGAATGTGGCGTATTCTGCGTGTTTGAGGCCCACTTTATACGGCAGTTATTTTCAGCAATATTAAATAAACAATAGTAAAGAAACATGAAAATTGTAACCTTCCCTTATATTGGTGGTCAGTGTGAGAAGTTCCACTTTATGTTGGTGTTTATTGTAAGAAGGGCCTTGTTACACTGGTGGTCAGTGTACTCAGTGGGAAGAATGCCCCTTACATTGGCGGTCAGTGGGAAGAATGCTCCTTACATTGGGGGTCAGTGGGAAGAATGCTCCTTACATTGGTGGTCAGTGGGAAGAATGCCCCTTACATTGGGGGTCAGTGGGAAGAATGCCCCTTACATTGGGGGTCAGTGGGAAGAATGTTCCTTACATTGGCGGTCAGTGGGAAGAATGCCCCTTACATTGGGGGTCAGTGGGAAGAATGCTCCTTACATTGGGGGTCAGTGGGAAGAATGCCCCTTACATTGGCGGTCAGTGGGAAGAATGCCCCTTACATTGGCGGTCAGTGGGAAGAATGGCCCTTACATTGGCGGTCAGTGGGAAGAATGCCCCTTACATTGGAGGTCAGTGAAAAGAATGCTCCTTACATTGGCGGTCAGTGGGAAGAATGCTCCTTACATTGGGGGTCAGTGGGAAGAATGCTCCTTACATTGGGGGTCAGAGGGAAGAATGCTCCTAGGGGGGGGTGTCAATGGGAAGAATGCAGCTTATATTGGTGGTCAGTGGAAAGAATTCCCCCCTTTCAGGTAGCCAAAGAGATCATTGCGAACCCTGGTTGAGATTGCAGAGGGCATTAAACACAGTACACTGAATCTTTCACGCCCTGAACACACTTCTCTGCACAGATCTGAAGTATAACGAGGATTGGAATATGTGCACATGTATCATACTAGTACCTATATTTTTTGTTTCTATGGATAGGACGTAATTGGTTATTCGCTTATCTGATGAAGGCACGTGTGCTTAATTTATTTACTTATTTGCAGAGGCGAAGGCAGCTGCTCCCATTTGTTTCCGAGAAGTGAACTCCAAAGGGGACCGATTCGGAAACTGCGGCCTACAAGGAAATGTGTACAGGTCATGTGATGCCAGGCAAGTAACTGTATTGGGAGCTACAATTTGCTGCTTCAGAGGCCGACGTGGCGTGTAAATGGCCGCCGGCTGTGCAATGTACAGACTAACACTGAGTGTTTTTGGCTGAATAGTGGCAATGTTAAAGTTGAAAGTTGTTTACATTCTTTTTTTTTTTTTTAGATAATTTAAATTTTTTGGATAGTGGTGATTTTCAGGACTTCTTTTTGTCACTGTTGGGGAGATTTCTTCTTACTTCCTTTAATGATTTTCCTTTAATGATGACTTCACAGAAAGTGAGGGGGATCTCCCAAAGCAGAACAAAGACAAAAGCAAAAAATTTACAGCGTTGCTAACCTCTCTCCACTCTTCTGGAGTTTCAGAGAGAAATACAGAAATATTAATTTTGCTGTCACCCCTCCCCTCCATAGATCCGTGAATTGCCTGCTCTAACCGCTTCGGCCAGCATCATATTTCTAGAGTTCCACTTCATCTCCTTGACTTCAATACATGTCTGTAGGGATGGGTGCTGCCTGTAATTCCCAGACCCTTGTTCAGACTTTCGCAGCGGACGTGCGTTACGAAACCGCACAGCCCGCAAAATAGTACAGGTACGATATTTTTTTTTGGCGGATTCCGCGCGTTTGTGGCTATATAATAGCCGCAAACTAGCAGAATCCGTGCAGTTTCACAAATGGCGTTTGCATCCCATGCGTTCTTCCGCCCGGGAAACGCAAACGCTGTATGTGAATGGAGCCTTACCGTATGTAAGGCACAATGGCTTAGTGGGTAGCTCTTCTGCCTTGCAGCACTGCTTTCCTCAATTAGAATCCTGGCCAGGATTCTGTCTGCATGGAGTTTGCATGTTCTTACTCTGCTCCTGTGGGTTTCTCCCCACACTCTAAAGACAAGCTGGAAGGTTAAAGGATATTTAAACCCTCACGTTTTTTTTGCATAGCAAGCAGTAGATCTATGCAAAAACAGTAAAGTTTACAAAGGGGTTAAAACTTACCCGCGCTCTCCCGTCCGAACATCTGAAGATCCTCAAGCGGCCACAAAGGATCTTGGGGCGGACGCATGCGCAGTTCAGATCTTCGGCCGGGAGACGAAGAGAGACGCAAGATAAGGCAATGCAGCAGCGTGCACCCGCACAGACTCCGTGGGACAGGAAGTGTCAGGAGGACAGAGGAGTCTGTGCTGGATCAGAGACCGGCACCAGCACTGGAGAAACTCCCGAAAACTACAGGAAAGAAGAGGATAATCTGATGAGGACGCATCATTTAAGGTAAGTCCTTACACTAGCATTGGGGGGTGGAAAAAAGAAGTTTCGCCTTTTAATGTCACTTTCATTTGACTCCTGTCTAAATTGACCCTATTATGCAAGATAGGGGCCCTAGACTGTTCGCTCCTCAAGGGCAGGGACTGATACGAATGTGCAGTATGTAAAGTGTGGTGTGAATTTTTGGCGCTGTAGTAAATAAATAACTCTTTGTACTAACCTGTACCTATAGGAATGCCATGTGCGGGAAGCTGCAGTGTGAGAACGTGGACTCCATGCCTATCTTTGGCATTGAACCGTCAATTATCAAGTCTACCATCCAGGGCACCGTGTGCTGGGGTGTGGATTTCCAGCTGGGCACCGACGTCCCGGATCCTGCTATGGTCAACGAGGGCACCAAGTGCGCCGGTGGCAGCGTAAGTAGTGAGCTGACATCTGCTCTTCTAGTTTTGTGTTTATTTCATGTACTTGCGGAATCCTGTATATCAAATCTGTAGATCGTACACATTAAGTACGTCAGTTATAGGCCTCCCAAACCGACTCGTGACCTGACCAGTGGTGCTGCTCTTTTCTGATGTGATCTCCGGCTCTATATATCTATAATGACCATTCTGCATATCATCTGCTTACCTAATGTGCAGTCACCACCACATCATCTTCTCTCATCTTCTTCCAGATTTGCAGGAATTTCCAGTGTGTCAATGCGTCAGTCCTTGGGTACGACTGCAACGTGCAGGAGAAGTGCGGAGGTAACGGGGTGAGTATGTTCTATTCACATAAGACGATGGTGTGTCCTGAAATGCGCCGTGCCCTGCATCCCCTTTACAACCTTTGCATTTTTTTTAAAAAACTTAGCCGTGCAGCTGTTTGTTTCTTGTGTTGTGTGTATATTCTAACCCCTTCGGGCACCTTATGATGTACCTGTATGAACCTGCTGCAGCCATGATCTTGGTATCATTTTTTTCAGCACTATGTACAAGTGATCTGGGTGGCTGTACCGCTGCCCAGATCACTTGTAGCAGCTTGTGAATGTGCTGCCCCCCCCCCCC